TTCTTTTTTAACGCCAGGCTTGCAAGCTCGACCCACCTAATACCCTCTCGGAAACGCATGGAATTGCTTGGTGATTTTGCTACTGAGCAGCAGTGATGTGCAGCAAAAGACTGCTCGAACAACTTCTGGAGTTGACGCAGAGCCCTTAACGCTCGGCGTAAGCTTTGGCCGACAAACGGATCTGGAGATGCGTGCTTACTCCGAGGGCAGTAGGGTCCTGGTTCATTGCTTCCATCCTTGGAACGCCCGCCTTCGGAGGATTTCATGGCTATGTGGATCATTGGTCAGACCACGAATGATGAGATTCAACCCTTGATTCGTTTCTCGTTTTTTGTCCAGTACTGTAAGGTCATCAGAATGCGGACGTGTTCTCTGTGCCGTCATCTCACGATATTTACTTGCTCGCCTGGACCGTTTGACGTTGGCCTCTCCTCCCATTGGGCTCCGAAGCTGGCGGTTGGCTGTCATCTGCAGACAGAGGCGCGTGATCCCAATGTCGGCGAGCAATGCTGCCGAAATGGCTGACAAAGGCGGATCAAACCCGTCTCAACCCGCCAAAGCGCGCACTGGTAACCTATACTGGCGTTACCATGGTCTTGACCAGTCTGGCACGTCGCAGCGAGGCTGTCAAAAAGGCTCAAAACAGAAGCTCAGTTTGGCGAAGCTTTTCCAGAGGCACAGTGGCAGGCAACGTGGGTCAGGGTATTCCTCCCGGCCCCTCGGCGTACGCAAGTGGCTTGGAAGTGATCTGACTTTCGCTAAACCACAGGGCACGATTGGGCATGGAAAGACTCGCAATGCAGAGCGCAGAAAGCAATCTGGTCGAAAACCGGATCTGCTGTGGGAAACATGGTTGCCATCGCTTCTGTACAGCATTTTCATTCACGCATCACGTCAATCCTCCCACCCTTGAACCCCATCGGCGTGGCGCAAAGTTAGCGCAGATCAAAACGGCGAGCAATCTGAGCGGGCCGCAACGGGTATCGAGGAATAGCGCTCTTTGCCAGTCCGAGCCGAGCGCGCTAAAAATGCATACCCGCAGAACCGAAGAGGCCCTCGTGAGTGAACATGGTGGTTTGAGAGGATGCGAGAGAGCAGCACACGCTGGATGTTGACAAACAACACCTCAAGGGGAAATCTTCTTTCGACTTGGAAAGGTCTGGTATGTAGGCACAGTAAGTTGTCTCCGACGTCCCCACACTACTGATATTCTGCATGCGCTATCGATCCGTATGGTTGTGTGGGGCAACCTTTTCTCGAGCGCTTATTACCGAGGCAATGGGGTTCACAGCCTGAACGATAGATCTTTCTTGGGCAGGCAGTATTGCCTGTGCAGGGAACCGATCAGGACGAATTGCACTACGCTAAAGAGATGCCTATATCTATACAACGGAGTTCAGATTGCCCATCATCGAACCCCCACCCTTTTTCCGCCGCACATGTCAACTCACGCGTCAAACCCCATGCTGTTGGTCCATGTATCGTGTGCCAAGAATGCTTGTCGTTTGGCTTCGTGGGCACTCAACTCCGCAGGAACTACGTCGGACCCCAGGGCGAGCAGCGTAGGAATGCTATCTGCACCTAAGCTTGCAATGTGGACCAACGCTCTTGCGGCCTTCCCCGGGTCACCGGGTTGGTGTCCGTCCAATCCGTTGAAAGCCTTCCGCAGTGGGTCTAGCACTGGGTCGTAGTCAACAATGCGCAGCGCAGTGTGAAGCCTGTGTCCGGCTTTCAAGAATGCAGTTCTAAAATGTCCAAGCTGAACTAGGCACACACGAATCCCCAATGGGCCCGTCTCTCTCTGCAGAGCCTCAGTGAACGTAGCCAATGCTGCTTTGGAAGAGCAATATGCTCCTGCATTTGGACTGCCACTGAATCCGCCGATTCCGGCCACGTTGAAGATGACACCAGCCCCTGTACGCCGCATGTGGGGGAGCACTGTACGCGCGAGACGAATGGGGGCAAAAACGTTGGTGAGGAAGATATCTTCAAGCTCAGCATCACTGTCTGCTGTCAGCATCGGACAAAAAATGACGAAGAGGGGTAAAAGGGGGCCGAACAGGGGCCAGGCTGATAAAAACGGACCTTGTCTCTTCCACTGCACCTTCAAGGATATAACCAGCCGCATTCACCAAAACGTCCACTCGGCCCGCTGTCTTGATGATGTCGGCAATGACAGAGGAAATGTGCTCAGCCGAGGCTCGCAGGTCTAACTCAACCGTGCGACATCCTGCGTTCGCTGCGAGTTCAAGTCCGTGATGATCCCGACCAATAGCAACAACCGTCGCCAGTTTTGCTGCCTCAATTGCCACCTCTAGACCGAGTCCAGAAGATGCGCCGGTCACTAGCCACACCGGCCTTGTTGATGTTATCGGGGCGGACGTGGACGAGGACATGCTGTCGCTGTTTTGGGAATCAAAAGATAACGCCCGCTTTTCTAACGCCAAGTATCCGAAGGGCTTGGAAGGTGTTATGTCAAGATTGGATGAGATGGCACGCGTATTCTCGGATGTGCCCTGCAACGAGTGATTGAAGTCAATCTCAAATGCGTTCCTTATACCAGCCTCTGCGGCACGGACCTTCCCCTGTTCCATCTCGATGCCACCCTCCCACCTTGCCGTACTCCGGTCCCGACGGACCTGCGCCGTAACCTTGTTATACCTGCCGAATCTCATGCAAAGTCTGCCCCGTCCCTGGTTCTGTGTTATCAACATGCCGATCTTGTCCTTTTCGAGATTTCACTCGAGTTTGGGTGGTGGATGATCCAGAGCCTCTTTACAGGACGAATGTCAACACTGGAGATTCATCCGGGCATGAAACCGCGAACTAAGGCAAAGAGACATGATAGCCAGTGGAGCGAGCCCTTTCTGCCGCCATTCTCATCTCATCTCTGCTTTGCGGACAGATGGCCCGGCTTGGGCTGTCGACTCATAATGCCCATGAACTAGTCGTGTAGCGCAGATCTGAAATCAACTTTCATTGGAGGTACGGACCACAATATGTCCCCGTTGTCAAATGATGCCATTGTTGCAAAGACTCACGTTGTTCCACCGTTTAATCCCCTTCACGGGGGTGCCGTTGGCAAACGGACACCCGCTCACCGAGTAGTATTCAGTTTCTTGCGACGTTCGCCGTTCAAGCACATCGGCTGCAGCCAAGTCCAATCCCATGAGCTGCATGCATGAAGGTGTAGAGATAAGACGGATGAAGAAATACGAATATGACCTGTTTGAAGCCCGTTTTACATTGCAGAAGATTGGACGGGTCTTTGATGTCACGTCCGAGATACGGTACAAGGTCTCAAGGGACCCATCTAGGTTATTGCCTGGCACCAAAGGATATAAATTGCCCCGAACCTGCACCGTGAAGTCATTCTGTTGCTCTCAGACGCCTGAAAACGCCCTTTTCGACATATTGAAGTGCCGATCCACATAGCCATGCCCGATGGAAGACAATCCGACCAAGACGCCTACGTTCCGTACTTGCATTGCAACCACCCCCGTCCCCTTCACGATGATCCTATCTGACATGACCATTGGAGGACGCATGGCAGGACCTTGTCAAGAGACATTGTGCACAATGAGATCATCTTGCGGGCAGTACTAATGGATGCTGCACAGGTAAATACCAACCTCGGAATAGGTCTCCTTCTAGACTTGATTGTTGCTGCGAGTATTCCATCGAACAAGATATTAACTAGCCAAGGACGAGTAGCTTATTGGGGGTGGAGCAACCGGCTGCAGTCTGGTAGGTCACGCGTCTAAATCGCGGATTCACGTCTAGTCTTTTGTTTGCCGAGTAAATCTTTTGCTCTTTACATGAGTAGCTTTTAGCCCCTCTCTCAATTCAGGCATACATAAACGGTACTAGCTTAAGACTGCTCGGAGTCTTGAGGTTATGATACTAGGTACTTAAAATGGTATACTAGGGCTGAGAATGATCTATATGTGCTCCCTCCACAGTATTCCTGTGGTGGAGTAAAGATCAAACAAGTTTACTTTGGTAGTATGGAACGGTAATTAGGTAAGCAGAAAGTCTGTTGTCTCTTATCGCTTGCGGTATCTTCCACTTATCGTCCCGTGACCCGGTGCCGCGTCGCGCTTCCAAGCCACCCCGTCTGGTATAGGCAGGCAGCAATTTGACGGCGAGCCTCACGTACCTACCTTATCCAGGACACTCAGTTAATGCTGATACCACTCTGCCAAACCTCGCATTTCTGACTCGCAATCGCGGGTCCAAAGCCAGATATCGCACCAGACTGTTGGCGGCCTTGATTCGTTTGCATCCACCACCCATCGCAATAGCTTGCTTCAGAATGCCACCCAAACCCAAGAAGTTCTACGGTGTCCGAGTCGGCATCGAGCCTGGTGTTTACGAGTCGTGGGAAGAATGCCAAAAGGTGATCGCCGTTAGTGGTGCTGTCCGTATGTTTCTTCAACGTCCAGATCACCCTATCTGCCTTGCTAATCCCCAGGTTCACCAGACAAGAGCTTCTTTTCGCGCGATGAAGCAGCAGCATGGGTGGATGGTGCGCCTGCGGCCCCCGGTAAAATCACTCGGTTCTATGCCGTGGCTCGGGGACACAAGCCCGGGGTATACACAGATTGGGACAGCGCGCAGATGCAAACGACTGGGTTCACGAGACCAGTCTTTCGAAAGTTCGACACGCGTGCTGAGGCGGAGGATTACCTCGGGGCCTACCCAGCTGGATCCAACCAAGCTCAGTCTGCTAAATCTCAGCCCACACGCAAACGTGGGCTTGAGATCGATGAGGAGGAGGAGGTTGTGCTACCCAGGAAAAAGTCAAAGGCGGTCAGCACTGACGGTAAGATAACGATGGTATACACAGACGGCGCGGCGCCTGGTAACGGAAAAGCAGGCGCTTGCGGCGGAGTTGGTGTTTGGTTCGGTGCAGACGACCCACGCAACGTCTCGGAGCGCCTCGCCGGCCCACTACAAACCAATCAGCGTGCGGAGCTCACAGCCATCCTTCGAGCTCTTCAGCTCGTCGACCTTGATTCGCCAATCGAAATTCGTACTGATAGCCAGTATTCAATCGACTGCGTCACCAAGTGGTATGTCTCTTGGGTGAAGAAAGGATGGAAAACAGCAGGTGGTACCCCTGTCAAAAACGCCGACCTGGTCAAATCTATCCGGGACCTGATGGAGGATCGGGAGGCAAAGGGGACCATTACCATCTTGACCAAAGTTGTTGGACACTCTGGGGATTATGGCAATGATCAAGCCGACAGGCTGGCTGTTCTGGGAGCCCAACTGCCAGCCCTCGACGAAAAGGGCCTTGGGGAATGAATGCATCCATCATGCGTGAGACCACAGTTGCCTGCCAAAGTACTGTTGGAAGGGTTTGCGGTACGTTTCTTTGCGCTCCAGTTTACATACAGACTGGCCTTCGCGGCAGCTCACTTTTGGTCTCGCCCATTTCCTCCCATGAACATTACAGTCTTTGCACCAAACATGGCTGACAGTATTAACCAGTACGGCCGATCATCTTCTCCACCTTGTTCTCCAACGGCGCGTGGGCGGGGAAGTCATGCTTGACGTTGTGCATGCCGCGTCGAGCATCTAAGGTGGGATCCCGTCGACGTACCTCCTCCGTGACGCCAGGTTCACGGAGGGTAACATACAGTGCTGCAAGTCCAAGAGCTCCCAGACCGGCATAGCTATCACACATCAGCATCGCCACAATCACCTTTCCACAGAACACCCGACTTACATTACGTTATTATCTGGGTAACCCATCTCCTTGTCGACTCTCTTGATGGTCGCCTTGCTGGTATGCATCACATCGCCCATTTTGTCCTTTACCTGCCCTACCGTCTCCTGGGCCGACATGATAGTCTCGTCCATGTCGAACCCGTGACCCGTGTACGCGCCTCCCGAAATGCTGGAGGCACTCAAACCTGAGGACTCGAGGGAGGGAGGGCTCGTCGACGGGGAGGCCTGTTGCGAGGTCGGGTAGTCGAAGACGAGATCAATGTCGTCGACTGGAGCTCCGCCACGAGGGTCATTGATGTTGGATCGCGAGGATGGAGAGGTTGCGGTAGCCAACCGGGCGGGGGTGGAGGAAACATGGCGAGCCGATGAGGATCGGTAGAAGGTTCGCAGAACTTGAGGCTTGGGAATTGGCATTTTGGTTCGTTTTGCAGATCTGATTTGAGAATGAGCCTGATTTGAGTAAGTAGCTACCACGACAGGATGGTGTGGTGACAGAAGGAAAGTCAGCGTCAAGAGGCTGCCGGGAGAGAACTGGCAAAATTATACATCTGTGGACGCTTTGACTCGGCGCGTTGTTACGGTGCTGTGACGTATCGTCAGCGTCAAAGTGGAGGTGCTGGCCGTCAGAAACACTCGGGTCATGTCCTTATCGCATGATCAGATCGGATCACCCGAGAGACCGTGTGCCTCCCTTTCACTCTCCGACGTCAGTGTCCATTTGCAATTGCCAGTAACCAGCGCTGTCATCATTGATCAAGCCACCACAAACATCAAAATCAATGGCGAACGGCCGTGTCTAATGCCTGCCAATGAAGGCATGTCCGTCTCTCTATTCTTGTCTAGCGGGGAAGACGATAAAATTAAGGTACAGATTCCGAACGTCCAACTATATCCTACCGGTTCTCCATGCTGATGGCTATATCTACCAAGACCCAGGTTCGGGCAACTTTTGTCCTCCGGGGACCAATCTCTGGAATACATGGGTTGGGTCATAAGCGGCTTGTACCTCGTAGAGGAAGGCGACATTCTCTGGACCATAGCTTGCGATAGCAGGTTGATCCCAGCCAGAGTATGTTAGCATGCTGGGAGAGGTGAGGTCAGCACATTGATCTTTTGAGATACCTAGGTAGACAGCCGGCAGGATAAGCTTACATGTACGGATGCCATAGGTTTCGCGATTTGGCAAGATCGATCATGGACTGAACAAACTCTGCATGGGCGGGGAGAATTTCGGCCGTGTCATCCATGCTGTCCATTGTCAAACCAAAGTACAGCACTGCCACAAGTCAGCATTACCACATCTGAATATTCGTCGAAGCAGGAGCCAGGTCATACCTCCCAAAGTTTGATTATTGGTCAGATTGTCATTCAGCCCCAAGACATTTGAGCTTTTCGAATAGCTGGCCACCAGCGAGTTCTGAGTGATGGGCATCACAACATGCAGGCCATAAAGCCCAGGGATGTGTTGCCATTGTTGGAGCCAGCTGTGATATGCGGCCCACACGTCGCGATACAAGTCGGCATCGGCGTAGACAGTGAAGACACGCTGCTCTTGGACTTGACGATCGGGGAAACCGTCATGAAGTTCAAACGCTAGATCGGCGTATGGTCTCTTCTTCAACGTGCTCTGGGTGTATGGTGTGTCGACCCATCCGCGCATGATCTCTGGCAGCTCGTCAACAGCCCGATTGTAAATTACTGGGCAAAATGCGATGGATTCGTTTGACGTTCCATTGTAGCCATACTGAGGTAGAACGTGGGTGAGAGTATCCTCGACGGCTTGGCGGGTGTGGTAGTCGTAAATTTGGTCCGTCACTTGGGGAATTGAAGACTCCGGATAGTACTGGCAGAGCGTTATTAGGGTCACTGGACATGAAAAGCGTCAAATTTTCAACATACCACCACACCACCGTACACTGCACCTTCAGTCTCCACTGTTCTCAGGGTGGCATGCGTGACCACGCCAAAGTTGTTGTTCCCACCTTTGAGGGCCCTGAAAAGATCGCGGTGACTCGTTTGGTTGGCGTTCACAACTGAACCGTTTGCCAGAACAACCTCGTAGTTGAGGACATTGTCCACCGCAAAGCCTTCCCGGTTGAAGAAGTACGAGATGCCAGCTCCAACAGTGAGGCCCATGCCGACCTTCTCATAGCGGCCAATCATAGCAGTCAGATTGTGAGGGTCAAGGGCTTGGTAGATGTCTCTCATCAACAGGCCCATTCCTGCACGTATGGAACCAGCTTCCAAGTCCACCTCGGTCGTGTTGAGAAGCTTCATGGGCATGAGGACACCATCGTCGATGTTTGCGGCTTGGGGGATTGCGCTGTGGCCTCCTCCCTTGATGGAGAAGCGGCATTCGTTGGCCACAAAAAGGCCAACTGCCTGCGCAACCTTTTCGGTTGAGTCTGGCAGGAAGACACAAGATGGGTTACGAATTTCAGTGGCAGCTTGAAACAAGTGTCAGATACACTGGTCAAGGGTTGGGGCTAGATCAACCAAGTCAAACTTACACCAGAAGTCTTCATTCTCAAACGTCCACACATCAGTGCCTCGAGGCGAGACATCACCAGGAAAGACTTGGGCAAGAAGCGCGCACTGTAAAGATGTTAACCCCTATCTCCGAGAACTGTGCTGCACGGAAGCAGACGTACACATTCGGGAGTTGGCGCTGCAGTAACCATCGAGAGCGGCAACACCGAATAGCCCCAGAGGGCTGCCGCTGTTGCACCGAGCTGTAGCAATGCCCGACAGCGAGCCATCTTGGCAAAATGTATGAAAGAGTAGGTAGGTAGGTAGGTACGCTGACGCAACGCCTTGCACAATGCAGTGGTAGTAAAAAGACCCCGTCTCAAACCAAGGAAAAAGACAGCGGAATTAGGGATTAAGACCGACTGTTATGATTGGCAGGGTGCTGATCATGACACGACAGAACATCATGATTCTCGTTCATATTCTTGGCCGGGGCCACTTTATATACGATGCTCGACCTGCTGCAGATTTGGACCGGAGTACAGAGAATTCTATCACCGATACTCTTTTCTCACCAAAACCCTGGATACAGGACTTGGGTTTCAAATATCAACCAGCCGTATCTCATGCACAAATGCGGCGCTCAAAAGCTCCGAAGGATCCAAACACAACCGCAGTTTGGTGCCTGCAAATCGCAAGCCACTTGACCTATTTTGAACAAGCCTCAGTCCCTTCCTACAGCTATCCGGTCATTGTTCTGCCGTACCACCGACTTTACCAAACTATTCCAGCGATGTTTGCCAAAAGCGCCCAGATGCAGTCCATCCTTACTGCCTGCCTCCCCCTGGTGGCTGCTGCCCTTCACGGGACTCGGCACGTCCCTCAGTTCGACCGCCACGGTCAAGAGACCACCGACTGCCAGATTCGCTGCCCAAAGTCTGCCCACCCCAGCAAAGTGATTCTGCCAGCATTGACGCAAGCCAAGAACACCACAACGGGAGAATGGGAGAACACTCTCGAGTGTTGGTCCATCGATACCGTCGATCCGGATTTGACCGACATCGATATTGACAATGCCATTCGGCTGCACTGGGAGGGGGGTTTTGATAAAGCATATCAGTATATTTTTCATGGGGATAGCTACATGCCTGCTCATCCGGCTCCGGAGCCGAGCTTGATCTTGATGAGTGCAGGTATTGGTACGTTCTTTGCACACTCTTACCATGGCCTTTTCGCTAACGGTAATGCAGGAGATTTGCGAGTGCCTAGCGGCAAATGCCTGAGGGTAGGGGCAGGAGATGTCTTCTTCAGCGTTGGAACCCTTGGCAAACAGACGGCATGGTGGTCGGAAGGGACACTGGTCAGTGACTTTTATTTCAAGGATGGAAAGATTCCACATCACGAGGTCGTAGAAGAGATAGATGCTGGCAATGATGCGGTTGGGGAGGGTGACAACACATTTCACTCTGATTTGTAGGCAACTGGAGAGCGGGATGATGGATTGGTTATCATGTACCTTGAAAAGCTTCAACATTAGATGCAGAGGAGGAACCACGGCTTCCCAGGTTAAAGCAAACAAAATTCTGGTTTTGCATTTGCTCTTGGCGCCTTTGATTTGAGCTGTGAGTTGATTTTCTGTGCTGCTCGAAAATTGTGCTATTGGCTACATGTAGCTAGTGTTGGCATCATCGAAGACCATTTCCCCCCCCCGCCCCCCCATTTTTCATTTCAGCGGGAAAGTTCCCAAGTTCCCCGGGGGTTGCATAGAATCAAGACGGACACTTGGCGCCCAGCATGTCTCCCTGTTTTTTCATCTTGGTGCGTGAGAGAGGGAGGAATGTCTTGCCCCAGGGCGGCTGGATGAGGGACCTGCAGGATCGGCAACGCCTGGTATGCAACATGACATCAAAATTGTCGGACTTACCCTGACCCAGGTTGTCGGGTCCTGTAAAGACCGCCGCAGGGTCTCGTTATCCCCGTTCAGGGGAATGCGATGATCAATAGAACCACCACAGAACTCCGGTCCAATGCTCGTTGATGCCAGCCCGTACAATCAATGATGGAAAGCACAACTCGTATTAAACCCGCGCCGTAAACACGCTGGAACTGCCGAAGAAGACACTTGCTGTTCAACCGCTGCCACCCTAACCCTGAAGCACGACCAACCTTACCCACAATACCCCTGGACCCCTTTCGTGCCCACTTCACACCAGCCATGCGCCGCACTCCTCTGATGCTGGCCTCGGCCATCCGCTCCCTGCAACAACCAACATGTCACGATCTTAGTCTCAGCGTTCCAGTAACCTCGACCGTCCCTCACCATGACTTTGAGACCTCGGCATATTCGGCCGAGGTTCTCTACGCCCTTGCTACACGCCAAGTCCTCGTGACCAACACTTACAACATTTCTGCCCGGTACTGCGAGCCCGCTAGCTCTGTGGCCGCCTCAGACACGATCCAACTTTTAATTCACGGCGCGACCTTCAACAAAAACATGTGGGACGTGGCCTACAAACCCGAATCCTATTCCTGGGTGCGCCGCATGACGCAAGTCGAGGGCTACCCCACTCTGTCCATCGACCTCCCAGGTAACGGCAACAGTTCCTTTCCCGACGGATTGCTCGAATCGCAGACCCAAGTCTACGTCGAGACAGCCCACTCCGTTATTCGACAGCTCAAGGAGACAAGCGTGGTTGGCAACCGACAATGGGACAAAGTCGCTCTTGTAGGCTTCAGCATCGGTGCCATTGTTGCGAACTCCCTTGCCCTACAGCATCCAGATGATTCTGACGCTGTAGTACTGCATGGCATCTCTTGGGACGCGACATGGATCTATCCCGCCTTCCTGGCTGGGTTGCAAGGGCCAGCTCAGCAAATTGACCCCGAGAAGTGGGGACATTTGGAGCCGTACTACCAGACTCAGGCCAACAGGGAGGGAAGGAGGGCTGCCTGCTTTGCGGGGAGCTATGAAGAGGATATTGTCGAGTACGACTGGTTGACGAGAGACTTCGACAGTCTGGGAGCGGCCATCACATTTACCTATCACCTTGTTGACGCGCCAGAGTACAGAGGCCCTGTATTTTTGGGCATCGGAGATCGTGAGTCTGCTCTGAACGACGTGATTGATTCACCGTGCTAACACAATTCAACAGAGGACTCGACATTCTGTGGCGGGCAGTACTGCAAACATCAGCCCTGGGATCTGTATAGGAAGTTTCCAGAGGCGACGGGGTATGATGTGAAGGTGTATCCAGAAACGGGGCATCTCATCTTGTATCATGATACTGCGGAGCAGTTGATGGCAGATACCGTCAAGTTCCTGAGAAAGCATGGTTTCTAATAGGCGGAACCGAGATCGGCTGGAGACCTAGACTTGAAGACGTAGGAACTTCTAACATGTGGTTGGGAGTGACATCAGACTGGCTTTTATACTACTTGCCCAGACGTAGCTCCTCATGGTGTAGATGAAAAACAAAATAGAGTTTCATTTAGGTATTTACCACTTTATAGGCGCTACCTTGTATTCAGTTGATTGACCGTCTCAAAATCCCCACCATCGAGAAAATGCAACCCAGTTGTTTTGTCATCCATCACTTTTTGCTGTTTTTTGATCGACTACCTAGTGCTCGGTACGGCTTAGTTTCTACCTCAGCTCGGTAGCGGGGAGCGGTTCGGATCATGGGCCGTGAGGGTGACCGCCACATCCCCACCATTGCGCCAACACAGGGTGATATCAAGAACTGAAACACGACATCCGAACTCTGGTTATCGTCCATCTCCCACAGATCTTCACTGCATCTCCCGGGCCTCACAGCAGCATTCTCGCCCTCTGCGCGCATTTGTCCCCTTCCAGTGCATCTGCAGACCCTGTCCTGTCAATCTCATCAATCTCACATGTGCAATGCCATTGTCAGTGCTCTCCCTCTTCAGGCCAAGCGTTCTGCAGGTACCGCTCTCGATACAAGGGTACCACATCCCCGTTGTCACCCCGACCCTAGCAGCCATGCAGGCCAAGCCAACACGCCCTCCTTTCCGGAATAGCCTCTCTGGCCTTGGCGGACTCGCTTGATGCACCGATATCACCCGACGTCGCGTTGTCAGTCAAAGCCCTGCGTCCCCTCACTGCTTATCCCAAGGCTGCTTCCCACCTACTTGGGTCATGCTCGTCACACTCCTTTCACTCGTTTGCTGCAGTTGTGTAGAACAGCACCGTCCACATTTGGCATCACTCGTTTGGCCAAAGTGCGGTTGTTTGGAAGAGGGATGATTGTAAAAGGTAGAAAAGACGACCGCATCAACGACTCATAGCAATGCATATCCACGGTGGAAATCACGTCGGGAGCCACGCTGGACACCACAATCACTTACGTGCAAGGCAAGGAGGGTTTAATTGGGACTGGTGGTGCAAATGGTACCCATGGGATCCTCGATGTTCTAGTCGGACAACAAAAGGTGGTGGTGGTGGAGGAGGAGGAGGATGGTTCAATGGTAGACCAACAACGACCTCAAAAGTGGAAACACCTTCGCCGACACCCGCTCCAACGCCAAAACCCTCTCCAACACCAACCCCGGTACCAGCTCCGGCTCCGGCACCAGCGCCTGTTCAGTCGTCCCCAGCACCGACGCCAACAACAGCAAAGGCGGTAGCAAACAACCCAGCAACAACACCAGAACAGCAGCAGCCGGCAACGACACGGAGACCGGCGGATGGAGGGGCAACAGATAAAGTTAATGAGGGCACACCAACAGCAACGGATAGAGGCGGGGCTCAGGCAGGGGGAGGTCAACAGGACTCATCATCACCAACCCTTGTCCCGCTCGTGGGGTCCGCTCCTCTAGACCCTACACCCGACGACCAGTTTCCGGGGGGGCAAGGTTCTTCAGGAGGTGGACAGGATGGCGCGACTGCTGGCTTCGGCGGTTCAGCGGGTGGTGGACCGGGATCAGGTTCAGGTTCGGGACCAGGAGGCAGCGTAGGATCTGGAGGAAACGAGGGAAATGGAGGACACATCGTTCCTGGGTCGACGAACGGCACAATTGACTCACCGGGGACGCCTAACAATAATGGTTTGTCAACAAGCGGTGGGCTGGGTGGCGGCGCCATTGCTGGTATCGTTGGTAAGTTTATCCTGTTTGGTATCATGCTGTTCCTTGACTAACGGTTTCAAGTTGGCTTGCTTGGTCTCCTTGCCCTGGTTGCACTTCTTATTTTTTTCCTTCGCAAGAAAAAGCCACAGGCCCTTCAAAGGGTAGTAGAGAAGTTCAATGGCAGACCAGGAAGCTCCTATCCCGTCAGCGCTCATGGAGCTGAAGGTATGGACAAGACCTTAATCGCAGGAGGTGCTGGTGGCTCCGTGTCGGCCGCCGGAGCCGCGAGACGTAACTCTCAACGGCAGGATCAGCTACCGATGCAGCAACCCACGAACGCCCCAACACTGCGCCCTGTGAACACCAACCTGCGCGCCAACCGGGTATCATCACCCACCAGAGAGTCGACGAGAAACAGCAACGCCTTCACTCCATCGCCCGTCTCTCCCCTCTCACCTGCCACGCCCGCCAGCGTGCTTGGCTCAGCTCCTCTTCCCTCGGCGTATCCCGTCCGCTCTCAGTACTACCAAGCTCCTCCTTCCAAACCAGGCCCCCTTACTCAAGCAGGCCATCCCGGAAGTTCACAATACGTCCCCCCATCCAACGCCGGAGGAAGCCTTCACGTAGCCCACGCGACATCGGGCGCGCATATGAACCGAGCCAGCAGCGTCAGCAGCGTCAGCACCACCAGTGCTTTGAGCGCCATCCTCAACCCGGCACAGATGGTATGGCCTATGCCACCACCTCCCACGCCGCCAGTCAGCGTGCCAGACACACCTCCTGCGATGGCTCGTGATAACAGGCCGCAATATGTTGATCTTTCGGCGCCTGGACAAACGGTGGTAAGAATCAACAAGCCCCCGAGTGTGAGAAGACCAAGGAGACAGAACTCGAACTATTGATGTTGTCTGTGGCGCCGTACTCGTCCTTTTCCAATTCACCAACTATACTCCTTTTGTTTTTGCACCGAGTCGTCCCGGTAGCATCGCTGTGCCAACAACGTCATGTATACCACACTATCTGAGCGTAGTTTAGATTCATAATGCCGTGCCCTGGCACCATCGCCCCCAACTGAAGAAATTGTTTTGAAGTTGTGGAAATGACCACCTACCCAATATATCCGGCTGCGCCTCACCACCGCCAGAAGCCCACTCTTCCACCGTTGTCTGGTAAGACGAAGCGACAAGCAACGGGAAGATGAAGCCGGACTCCGGATCTCGGTTCCTTCCCGATTTTAGGGACGAATCAGTCTCACCTCACAGGGTACTCAAGGGGCAAAGCAATAATGAGAAGCTACCTGATACCTAAATCTGATCTGAACACATGAGGTTGGGTGCCTGCCTCGTCCATCCACACACTTGACCTGAGAACATTACAACTGACCCGTGACCACAACTATCTATCCAACTGGGTAGCATGAAAGAAGAAGTTTTTGTAAAAAAAAGAAAGAAAAAAGAAGCATCTTGGCAAAAAAGACGCAGTGGCTCATATGATCAAGCCCTCGGTATCTGGTGGTATGTTCTGCTGACGGTACACAGGTACATCATCTGGTGGTGCTGGAAAGTCCCCGCGTGTCTCGTAGGTACGAGCCCAGTCGTCCCATTGATTGCAATCGGTCTTTCTCCTTGTTAGGTAGTGGCGTAGGATCGTCAGTTTTGCCAGTACCCTTGCCAGTTCCGTCGTCAGTCTTTTCAATACTCTCACCAGGGCCAACAAGTTCATGAAATACTCTTGGCCTGCCCCCAGACACATACTTCAGCAGCACGATCCTTTGATCCGCAGTCAAGTGGCTTTGATTCCACCCTGTGCTTGAACCTGGCCCAGTCCAGGGGCTGGGCGGACGTGTTTGTGTGAGTTGCGGAGGTGTCGATAGGGCCCCGGTACCATGACGATTCCCTTTCTGTGGCTCATTACCTGTTGACGTTGGCGTCTTTCCTGCTTCCTCGCCAGTCTCTCTATTGAGCTTTGTGGGCCGACGGTCAGGTGGAGGAGGACGGCCACGACCTGGAGGGGTCTCAGGAAGTGCGATGGTGTAGTCGGATGTTGATGTCGGCTTTGGACCGGTTATTCTCACTTTGACAGTGCCAGGCGAAACTGGGATAGGGGGTGGAGGGGTGCGTCTCCTATTACGTGAGGGGGTGTGCAGGGATGGCCATTCACCTGGCATGCCATGCGGTGTGTCTAGGAATATTTCCACTGCATGCACCTCTGGATTCACTTTCTTCTTCTTCGGAATCTCAACGTACACTGGGAAGGAGGGTGGCTCCTGGGTGGTAGACTGGCTCCGGGTCTTCGTCCAGAGGCTCCGTCTCTTACGGAGGACTCTGAGTGTCTCCTCCCAGACAGGGAGCCAGTGCGTAGCAAGATATTGCGCGTCCTTTGGAGATGGTATTGGAGGGTGGGGCGAATGTGATGAAGCTGACCTTGCGGTGAAGCCGGGAGGAGGGGGGGGTTCTGGTTGGGCATCCCCTCTTCGGTCGGTATGAAACCTGTGCCTGTCCGTAATGTATCGAAAGTAGCTTGCCCACTCTGGATCACGGGGAAAAGGAAACGGCCCAGAGTTGTGCCTGCATGAGACGCAGCTGTTAAAAGACGATGCTCTGATCTCTCTAATCCAGGGCGGGTTCCCGGTTGCACCACGACCTGCCCAACGCGTCCTCGCCTCTGTGCCTTCCCAGCCTTTGACGCTGGGATATAACACACAAAGATGACTCCCAACCATACTCGCCATGTGGTCAAGACTCGATAGTGCCGCTTTCGAAGCCTTAATTGCCGCGTACCCCCATGAAACCTGGAGAATCGTACTTAAGAGGGCGTAGCCAAGAGGCCCGGCCATGATCTCTTCTACCATCTTGACGGAATCTATGACCACCTCCCAATCTGGATATTCAAGGAGGAGGCGTGCTGCCTCCGGAAGCAGTGCTTTTCCCGTGTCGAGAAGGCGTGACGCCAACTCTACAAAAACGGGTTGGATGGTGAGTAGATGAAAAGTATGACAGACCGGCAGCCTGAATTTGAGTTCCGACAGGAGATGAGTGCATTATGTCGGATGGAGGAAGTTACCAATCTAACAAAGGATAGCAAGAACCTGCCTCGGGGAGAATCGTCAACCGGGACATCTTCAGCTGGGTCAGGGGAACCCGGGGGGTCTGGCATTGGAGCCTTGGTGTTTGGCTTTGGGGTATCGGCACTCAATGGAACGAGGTCGACTGGACTGTCGTGACTTGGTGAAGAAGACTGTGTTGGGGGGGGGGGGAGTGGGGCTTGATGGGGAAGAAGCGAAAAGCTTGATAAAGAATCGAAGAGGAGCACCCAGGCTGGATGGCGTAGAAGTGACTGGACTGGCTGGCGTAGGTGTAACGGGGGCGGATGAAAAAGGGTCGGCAGGAGTTGATGGAAGAAAGACAGAAAGATTGGATATGAATGATGGAAGAGTTGTAAAGCTTTGTTCAAGTGCTGTCTCGAAGATTAATTGACGAAGGCGGGCGAGATTCTTCAGAAGAAAAGAGAACAGATCTGATGGAAATGGGGGACTAGTCGGACTTGTTGGACGCGGAGCAAAGGCCTGATGTGTTAAGACGAGGGCTATCTGGACTTTCTGGGGCGGAGGAGGGAGAGCGTGGCACAGATTGAACAGAGCTACCAAGACTTGGTGTAATGGGAGCTGACGAGGAAGAACTGGTTGTGTGACTCAAAAGAGCGCTACTGGATGGCGACGCAGATGTGACGGCTTCTGGTTTCGCGCCCTCCGGAACGAACTGGACCAACGCAGGGTCATCAAAGTCACTTCTCTCTAGAAATACCCGGTCATGAACAGCGCGTTGGTCGAGATACACGAGTTGCAACGGCTCGTCATCAGATCCCCAGTCCGGAAGGCGAACGAAACCCCAAGGTCTTGGATCCAGGTAGTCCTCGGGGGTTGGGCTAAACGATTCCCGACAGACCAAACACCCAATGTTCCTCGGGTTCGCAGTCGGAAAAGCTCAGTAGCACAAGGGAAAGCTTCCAGATCTGGGTGTCAGGATCGGCGAGTAAGAGATCGAAGATCCAGCTGTTTGCAGGATATCTCTGCCTCAAGAGATAAATGTGCCAATTCTCTGGATCAAGAGAATAGTCTTCTTTTGGTAGAATTTTCTAGTGGGGATGTGTGTGTTGTAAGACGTTGACGACGGATAGCCTCTTTGAGTTGTGTTTGAACTTGTCGTCTCTTGCGGAATAGAAGGAGCTCAAGTGTCGACCACAGCAGATGTCCATGGATGTCTAGCCAGGGAGTGTCCGACATTATAGGGGTGGAAATTCAAGCAGGCCCCACACCCAAACAGGGCCAAGTGATGAGAGAGACAGATGGAGATAACAGAAAATGAAAATGCTAGAGATAAAATGCCAAACATAATGGTGAGGCGGCTCACAGAAGGCTTCATTGTGAATATGGGCCCCTGTGAAAACAGAGGAACGGGACAAAGAAAGAAAACGTGCCATGCTGTTTGAATCCTTTGGGTGGGTAGAGACTGTGAGCCTATACAAAGGTTGTTTGGTGATTTGGGTTTACAGTTACAGCGAAAAGCATGCGTTTTTGTTGGCGCTGGCAGTAGGGTTCCACAGTGACAGCCGGTTAAATCTCGGCGCGCTTCCCCCGCCAAAAACGGCCGCGCAACCCCTGACAACGCTGTTCTCTACAACCCAAAGTAAACACAGCTGGCCGCGACCACCTCAACATCACATACCCATAGATAACGCACCGTCATCGCCACCAACGACATCGACTTTCCTCACGACAGCGACAACCTGCCATCAACCATCATCATGTCGGCCCCTCCTAAAAGGTCCTCCTCTGCCAGAGCAGGCGGCGACAAAGACAAATCCAAAGTCCACAAGCTCTCCCTCAAAGGCTCCGCCAAATTAGTCGCCGAATTTGTTCGTCGCCGCCGACCCCCTCCCACCCGTATATGCCCCCTTCCAACGGCGTCCCAACTAATCGTTGTCTCTTCTAACCCAGTTCCAATATTCCATCCATACTATCCTCTTTCAACGCGGCGTCTATCCTGCCGAAGACTTCTCCGCTGTCAAAAAATACGGCCTCAACATGCTCGTGTCCTCGGACGATCAGGTCCGGTCCTACATCAGGAAGATCATGTCCCAACTCGACAAGTGGATGCTCGGCGGCAAGATCTCCAAGCTCGTTATTGTCATCACGGACAAAGACACCGGTGAACATGTGGAGCGGTGGCAGTTTGATGTACAAATCTTCAAGAAGGCGTCCTCATCATCCAAGTCAAAAACATCAACACCGATCGGGGACGAAAACACAGGGGAGGAGAGGCCAACAGCGACCGAGAAGGAAAAGGACAAGACCGAAGCCGAGATCCAACAGGAGATTGCGGCGATTTTTCGACAGATCACTGCGAGCGTCACGTTCCTGCCGCAGCTGAGCGGGAATTGCACCTTCAACGTGCTGGTGTATGCTGATGCTGACAGCGAGGTGCCCGTCGAGTGGGGAGACAGCGATGCCAAGGAGATCAAGGACGCGGAAAAGGTACAGCTGAGAGGGTTCAGCACGGCAAACCACAAGGTCGAGACGCTGGTCTCGTATCGGTTGGTGGAGTGAGATTTGCCATGAGCAAACATAGGGGCAGTGCATCCTATCTTTGCATTGGCCACCAGCGCTGATTAGGGATGCCAAGGAGTTGGGAGTACTGGGAATGGTGGAAACATGGTCTTTGTTTTTATTTATTTACCTCTGTTGTTGTGCTAAACCAGACACTCACATTTATTTTAGCCAAAGAGAACAAGATACAGCAAATCATTGCACATCCATTTCAGAAGAAGCATTCCGTTTCATGCTTCGCTGGTCCAAGTCTCCATGCTATCTATGGTCCCGCTCGTATTCCTCAAATCGCTGTGTCGCGTCTGCCAATCCGACTTTACGACAAACGCTCGCAAATTCTCAAACCCGCTTGAAGAAGTACACGTAGGCAAACTTCTTCATCTCCTCCACATCCTCCACCTTGACCACCTTTTCATCGTTGAACAGCACCCACGAGGTCTGCTCGCCGAGCTTCTTGCGGATAAAGGCAACGTAATGCCTGAAGCGTGTGGTTAGTATACTTTTATTAACGCAGCCGGTGGTGTAAAGTCTTACCCGGCATGGATACTCGTGCCCTTGTGGCATACAATAGACTGCAACTGAAAGTTGGCTGGAAGTTCTGCGCTTCCTGCCCCCTTCTTGTCGCCAGCCGGTGCCGCCGCTTCCTCTTCATCCACCGCACCACCGTCGTCCGGATGACTGAAAAGCCACTCAATAGCGCGCTCAACATCTCCATTGGTCTCTTTGAGCGCCTTGACTGCTCGTGGCCCACCAAGTCCCATGCTTTCCAACATGGCCAGCTTCTCAGGATCTGCCGCGCTGGCACATCCGCTGTCGCCACCAACAGAAACAGGAACATCGATGTCGGGATCCTCCATGTGCGCAAACAGCCACTCCATAGCTGAGTTGGCATCCGAGTTACCGGTCGCATGCAGCGCCTTTTCGCAACGAACCCGCGGGAAGCCCATGCCTTCCAACATGGCGAGCGCCTCGGCATTCGGAACAAATGCCGGAACGTTGCTTGCCGCGGCAGCCTCGACTTCTGGCAGCGCCTCCTCATCAGGTTGCTGACCCTTGGACAGATAGCTGTCCAGGGCAAAGGGCTCATCGTCAACAAGCACGGGAACATCTACTTTTACAGGGACCCAGTTGACAACCGCCATCTTGCGAGCATTGACCACGAGCACCTCGGGGAAGGTCTTGAACAAGGTGCGCTTGGAGAAGCCGTCCTTGCTGCTGCAAGAGGTACAGCCAAGTTCAACCACCTCTGTGGCTGTGAGATTGTCGAGGCACTCCTTCAATGTGACTGGCTTGTATTTGGGCTCTTCTCCTTCTTCGGCTGGCAGCTTTTCGAGGGGTACGTCGATAAAGATGCTGTCTTGCTCGTTGGAGCTGTACCGGACCTTTTTGCAGTTCAGGCACTGGAGACGCTGCTCAAGAACAAAGCGCATTGACTGGGTGGGGTCCGGGAGGCCTGACGGGTGCTTAGACCGGGTGATGAGCTTGATAACATGTTGCAACAGCTCAAACGCGTCTTGCTGGCGCATTGTGGAAAACTCGGCATGGCCCCGGCCGATAAGGTGCTTGAGCATCGATGGCTGAAGGCCCTTCTGGTGAGGAACCTCGGGCGAGTGTTCCGACACGGTGATGTCCGACTCTGGTTTGGAGTATCGCCCCGACAGCAAACCATCCGCGATTTTGCGCAGCTGGGTCTCAAGATCTTGGGCAGGGTCGAGCACGTCGGGAAGAGGTCCGACACCTGCACCATAGCGCTCTTGGAAAGCAGGAATGTCAAATAGACATTGGATAATGCTGGCCAGGTAACAGCTGTTTCCCAGGTTCTTCAGACCCGTCAAGCCAGGGCCGAACTGGGGGGTCAGTTCCTTGCCGTCTTCTGTTGTCATGGAGAACTCCCATCGAAGGTTTTGCTCAATCTGCATCTCGGTCAGGCTCTTCTCCGTCTTTTGACGCTCCGAAAGGAGAATGCCCCAGTTGGCAAGGTGAGCCCCAAGTTCCTCGTCGACACGCTCCTCGTCGCATGTGTAGCAGTAGACGTCAGCAGTCCCTTCAGGGGTGATCGAACCAAGCTTGACGGCAACTCCGTGGCCGGTTTCTTGAGAGTGCGCCAATGCGTGGGAGTTTCCACCAACGCCACCAAACTGAGCGCGTCCGCAGCCCAGGGCGCCACACTGTAGACACAGCCAAAGGTTCTCCTTCAAGTCACACTTGGAGCAATGGCCTAGATCCTGAGACTCAATCTGCTTTGGTGGATCTTGTTGCAAGGTCAGAATGTGCTCGCAGCTGGTCATCTCCTGCTCCCAAGCCTTAACCTCTTCCTTCTGAGAAAATGTGTTCGCCTTCATGACGCTGTCGACGATGGGGCCGATGGCAGGATCCTCTTTGTCGAGCTCGTCGAGGCCACACTCCAGACATTTCACCGTGGTCTTGGTCTCGTATCGATCGGCTTCCGTCTCGGCGGCGATGGCCAGCTTGGACATCTTGAGCGGCGGCTCATCTCGCTCAATCACCTTGCGGGTGCGGCGAATGTTAACGACCAAAGGATGGCCGTGAGCGGTGCTGTGGAGCTTGGCATGGTTGCGGTCGCCAGGACAGCCGCCGTTGAAGCATTTGAGGCAGACGTCAAGGCCTGCAGGATCGTCGATGGAGTCAAAGCATTGTGTGCAGTCCTCGCGGTAGACCAGGTCGGATGGCCCTGGCTTGGAGAGGTCTACGTGTCGAGGGAGCTTGGTCAGTGATCACAGCACAAGAGACAACATCATCGAGGAGGGGAGAACGCACTGGCTGATGAGACGTGAGGGCACGCCATCTTTGTCGACGTAGACTGTTGTGGTCAAGCAACTGGTCGAGACAAACTGGAATCACTGACTGAACTTCTGATCCGAATGAAGCTACCTAGGGTAAGGAGGCAGAGCTGAAGCTGGTGTTGGAACACAGGGCGGGCAAACAATGGACGAGCAGGCAGCGAGTGAAGACGCGGGGTGGCGGGGCATCAAAGCTGCAGCCGACCAGCCCCAGCAAGGCGGTTGCTGCCCCGCCTGCGTCTCAATGGCTGATAACGTTTACCTGTTCTACGGTAGCATGACCAAGGTAAGCTATTGAATACCCTCTGTAAGATGGCCTACCGAGAAAACAGGAAGTCCAAACCATCGGAGGCAAGCTAGCATTCACTGATCAACAAGTGATTTATAATAGCCACCATCAATTCGATGGTCATGGCTGGCTCGGTCTCCGTAATCTGATCATCTTATCTCCGCGGGGGGGTGGGCCCTTACCCACTCGACAGCTGCAGCCGACGTCGGAATGACGCTTGGTGTTGCATCAAGAAATGGAATTGGCGGTGTCCCACTAACAGATTGTGACCAGTATTCAACGCGATAAACCACCTATCTGTTAAGCAAGCTTGGGCCACCCTCTTTTCACTCTGCCGCGGGAGAATCGCCCCTTCAGTCATCATGGACAAGTCCCGCATTTCCATCTTTCGCCCTCAAATCAATTTTCTTTGAAGCATTTCAAACCTCGATTTCTATCAACGCAAATAGCACCTGATATTCCGTCCATTCCATATCAAGTCTACGACGACTACTTCCTATCAGATCTCCCGAATCAACCCCGGCACACAATACAACAAACACCATGCTTTCCAGAACAGCCCGCGCCGTGGGTGGCCGTCTCCTCGCCCAGTCCCTGCGCCCGGTTGCCATCCCCGTTGCCCGCCAGTTCGCCCCGATCGTTTCGCGCCCTGCGACACGCCAGTACCACGAAAAGGTGATTGACCGTGAGTATTTCCCTAATTAACAACGTCGATATCGCCCTTTTCCTGCCTCTTCCGCGCTCGGCTCGGAAATACTGACATGCTGTCGCTTTGCGTCACAGACTACTCGCGTCCCCGAAATGTCGGCACATTAGACAAGAAGGACAAGTCCGTCGGTGAGGGCTTAGTTGGTGCGCCTGCAGTATGTTGTTTCTTACGGGTATAATGTTTCCTGGAGGCATTCTAACTATGGACCTGTGAACAGTGCGGTGACGTTATGCGTCTGCATATCAAGGTCGATCCCGAGACACAAGTCATCAGTGATGTTAGGTTCAAGACGTTCGGCTGTGGTTCTGCCATGTAAGCACCCCTCTTCCTCTTTTCAACAAATTCTGGGTTCGGTTCGTCATCCAAGTCCGAGAATCCGAGAGATGAGGCTACAAGTCAAACAATATGGGCCGACGTGGAGGCGGCTCGATCCCGGAATGACCACTTCGGTAGCGCCGTGGCGCTGGAACAAGCCCCATCTCGGCGATTCAGACGGTGAATTTGGGGACCGGCGAAGCTATACGACAAGCATGCGAGATTGGGCGTGGGCGTATGCATGCTGATCGTGTCACAGTGCTTCTTCCAGTTACCTTACCGAGCTCGTCCGCGGCATGACCCTCGATCAAGCGTCCAAGGTTAAGAACACGGAGATTGCCAAGGAGCTTTGCCTTCCACCAGTCAAGCTTCACTGCAGCATGCTTGCCGAGGACGCCATCAAGTCTGCTATCAATAACTACTACAAGAAGAACCCGCAAGTAAAGCCAACAAACCTTGCCGGGACAGGCGCCACTCTGGAGTCTGTTGCCGCTTAGAGGATTGGTTGATGCTTGGATGTAGTACTGTTGTTGGACCGCAAAAGATTTTGGATTGAACAGCCGAGCTCGCCATCATCTGAAGGATGGTAGGGCATTGACTGTGCTGGTGGCCGTTTTATGCCAAGGTTTTCGTTTTTAGCATTTGTTCTTGGGTTGCTTGCCGCATTTATGAGATTGGGGTTGGCAACAAATGTTTTGGCATGCGTATGTACATGTATGGAGTGTGACGCCCCCTCATAGCGGAGTACGGCCGGAGTTTGTGGTTTTTGCTGGGGCTTTATTACCAACGGCAACGGGAATCTTCTGATCATAGCTGGAGTATGTCCGGAAATAAGATATCAACTCTTGTCCCTGTCTAATCTTTTGGTCTTGGAGGGTATATCCTGTTCCAGCCTGACCGACGGTGAGCACTGTTATGATGCCTCGAGCTGGGACGCGGACCATCGTCGGTCTTTTGAGGCGCCCATGACGTTTCATGAAACCCCCACCCACGTGCCCCTCCTTGGGCGAGCACAGCAGTTGACGAATCTCAAATCATGTCGTACTAACGCATGTCCTGTCCGCTGCCAGATATGCATTGATGGGGTGTGCTGTTGTGCAGAGCGCCTTGCCGCATTGGACCGGGATATGCCGAAGGAGATAACAGACTTCGACGGCACCTGATTCGGGAAAAGAAAACCCTCCCATTTCTAACACAGCAAAACTGCTGTCAGATCATTGGGGTACAGTACCCGGCTCCCGAGACATGTTGTAGACGCCCAGTCGGGCCCCGGGAGAAGAAATAAGCAAAATCAACAAGAAAAGGAAATAACCAGACGTCCAATGAACCATCCATCACTCGCGTAGCAGCTCCAGACTACATACCTATGCAACGAGATTCTGCTTGAGGCGGTGAGCTGCGCGACCATCGGGAGAGCCACGTCGGCCACTTTGATGGCGAGAGGCACTGGCTAGGTAGGTACAAAGGAAATAAAAAGTAGGGTTTCATTCGAGAACAGTCAAGGAGGTGGGACAAGAGGACTCGCTTATGCCACCCACAACCAATTGTCATGGTACCGAACCTCGCAGAGGCTCTTTTCCCGCCGCCCGCTTGGTCTCTTGTCAGCTCGCACCATGCAGGCCAAGGTCAGAGGGTTGGTCCGGTGACTTGCTAGTGTTTTTTGTGCTACCCTAGTGAGAAAGAGGTTCACCATCCCAACCAGCAACGATGTTGGTGATGACGCCCGACAGGGACATGAGATGGATACACAGAGGTCACCACGTCACGGCACACAAAAAACCCTCCGGCCTCGTTCTCGACAGGCTGTGAAGAAAAGGATGACAAGAGAGTTTCGTGCCACCGCCTGTACTAGCATGACCGCATGCATCTTTCCCGTCCGGCAACTCTTGTGACAGCTTTTTTCGAGTCCCACTCGAAGCCAGTACCAATCCCATCTGGCTTATTTGTTTGGTCCGTTGTACACCTCCCACACCAGAACAAGGCCACCATTATCCCACCCTCCCCCATTTTCTTCCCATGAAGACCTCGGCAATTGTCTGTCAGGGCCAATGTGAGATGTGATGGCTCGGATATTGGGGCCGGGGGCGCTATGAATGAAACAAAGGAAAAGCCACGGGCCAACGGTTAAGAAAAGGGCCGGTGTCTATGTCAAGTGCGCCGATGCAAACGTTTCCATCGCATTGGGTCCCGGAACGAGCCCAGAGTTTATTAGACATCTAGTATACATGCTAAACCCCGGCTTACCCGGTATCCCACCACCAACACCCGAACACGCGAGGCAGAGGCGTCCCGACAGTTGGGTCCACCCCGGCCCCCCGGTCTGTTCCGTGCTGTTGAATCGGGCCAAAAGAAATGGAGCCCCTGCCTCGAAGTTGGTGATGTGGATGGTCCCATCCACCCATCCCACTCAACCCCGGGGTCGTCAGCTAGGTAGGGGTGTGGGTGTGGGTGCGTGAGTGGTGCTAGCCGCCGTCTTACCACCATCCTCGCAACAACGGCACAATGCACGGTGAGGTAGCGCCAACGAGAGAACTTCCCCTCGGGGTAAAAAGTGGTGATACAAGGCTCGAGGCTGAGAGTACAAGACGACACCAGAAGCCATCGTCACGATGGTGTCGTTTGACCTTGTTCACCCCATGTGATAGTTGGTACTTTTGTGGTGTTATTTGGGAGCACCAAGTCCAACTCGAGCATCTTTTTGGCATTTGACCCTCCTAGAGTACATACACCTGTTGACCAACACCCTTTGTTGACCAAACCCGCATCATTCCATTCATCTACCTTTATTACCAACAACCCGCTACTAGAGTTGGGATCCCCACTATATACCGAGTTTGGGGACTCACTTCTTTGACCATCACCATGAAATTCCACAGGAATTCACCACACGAAGAGGAATCAGACAAAGATGGGGACAAGAGGATGGTAAATAAGGAAGGCAGAAGGGGACGTTATAAGGTCCGTTGGAGGTGGTGGAGGCCGACACTTACACCAAACGAGCCGTTTACATCATCACCTTCACCGTCGCCTCAACGGTCCAGTTTGAATCCGGAATACAGCGGTAGCAGCGTCGACATTCTTTCTGACGGCGGCAGCTCCCAGTCCGAAGAGGACTATCAGATAAAGCATTCGGTTTCTCTAATCAAGGCGCCATTGTCCCCTGACAATTATAGTGACTCGGGGATTTCCCTTTCTGACAGCATTGAGCCAGGGACGAAACTTGAACCACGGTTGGCAATGCCCTACATTGGAGCAGAAGCCGAGGGAAATCGCCCGTCATGGAGAAACATCCGACCCGCCTCTATCGTCCAGTTCCCACGCCCCTGTGTGAATCCGGATAAGGAGTTCAAAATCAGGACTGTCCACTTTACCGTCCCGCTTGAGCACCACAAGCCCTCGGGCCGGCAAATCAATATTCACGCTGAGCTCGTATACGACACCCACGAGCGAAACAGATTCGACAGCTGGGTGCCCGCGTGTCGTGCCAGTCCTATTTTGGTGTTCCTTTGCGGCGGACCAGGGGATAAGAACCCGCATGATCGATCGCCAGCGTTGAACAGGATGTTGATTGAGAAGGGGTATGTCGTTCTGTACGCCGACTATAGGGGCACAGGGCAGAGTAGCAAGATTGACAGCGCGACTGTCAAGACCTACAATGACACGAGGGATTTTGCTGGGGCGGCCAGTTATCTATCGTTGTTTCGGCAAGACAATATTGTGAGGGACCTAGAAGCCGTGAGGTTGTGTCTAGAGGAGCACTTATACCCGTTCTCATCCACGAACGGCAATGGCGGAGATGGGTTAAAATGGACCTTGATGGGACAGTCATACGGCGGTTGGGTGGCATTGACCTACCTGTCGTTTCTCCCTGGGTCGCTGGCAGAGGTGTATTTGACGGCCGGACTGGCGCCGGTGACGATTGGGAGTCCGGACGAGGTTTATGAGGCGTTGTATAGCGGGATAAGGAGGTCGAATCAGAGGTACTACCAGCGTTACCCTGAAGATGAGGTCTTGGTGAGGGAGGTATACAACACCCTTTTGTCGAGGGGGGCAGCGTATGAATTGCCGGATGGATCGAAGAGAAAGCTGACAGCTCAGACGTTTCTGACCTTGGGGAGGAAGTTCATCGGAGGCGACTCTGGGCTGGAGGCGGTGCATGACTTTGTGGGCCAGCTGCATGGACAGTTGGTGAGGAATAATGCGCTCGTCCCGTCGCCGGAAGTCTTGAAAGAGTTTTCAAAGCTGGAGGGGTTCAAGCTGCATTCAAGGCCGTTGTACGGGGTCTTGCACGAGGCGATTTATTGCAATAATGGAGATACGGCGTCGGAGTGGTCGGCCCAGAGGGTTGGGAAGAGGCATCGGGAATACAAGGGGTGGCTTCAGGGGAAACATGCTGCGGAAGGCCAAAGGCTCTACTTTTCGGGTGAGATGGTGCTCCCCTGTTTGATGCCCGAGGAGTTCAGGTATGCAAATGATTTGGTAGCGAGCAAGGCAGATTGGGAGCCATTGTACGACTTGAACCGGTTGAAGGAGAACACAGTGCCGGTCAGAGCAATGGCGTATCAAGATGATCTGGCTGTTGACTTTGAACTGTCCAAGCGAACGGTGGAAGCTGTCAAGGGATGTGTGATGGTCGTGGGCAAGTCGGGATGGAACCACGGCAGTCTGAGGAACAACACAGATGAGGTGATACGGATGCTGTTTTAGATCATAAATACCCTTGGGATTCATTTGTGACTTAGACGGGTCATGGGATGTCAGGACCAGCAACTCCCAGTGCCCCCACGGACAGTCTGCCAAGCAAGTGACGCTCGAGCTGCCCCTAGCTCATCAGTGGACATGGTGATGAGCTCAGCTCGACGACAAGGCTGCGATAAGAGTTCCGTAGGTCCAAGGGAAACCCCGAACAAACAACAAGATTTCAGCATCACAACTCCAACTTCCCAAGAAGCCCAGCGAGATTAGGTTGTAGTGCAACGCTCACATCGCGGCTTACTACCTTGCCTTATCATCACGTGGAGCGCAGACGCCTAGCTGCATGCGCTGTGGGTTGTTCCCCGCGATCAGTGCTTATCGCTTGGGGCAGACCCCACCGCATTTTTCCAGGTGTGAATCATTCCAGCTTTCAGGTTCCTGGTGCGACGATTTATTTGCGACAAAGAGCTCCAGTTGCGAACAACATCACCAGACAACACACAGCGCACACCATGGCTCCCACACAGACCCCCACGCTCCTCTGGGGTGGCAGATTTACCGGTAAGCCCATTGACCTGTCATCGTCTCGCCATTGTGTTGTTTGCGCGCTTAACACCATTCGAACAAATAGAGGCCATCGACGACTTGATGTTCCAGTTCAATGAGTCCCTTTCCTTTGACAGGGTGCTCTACAAGGCCGATATCCACGGCTCCATCACCTACGCCAAGGCCCTCCACAAGCTCAACATCCTCTCCGACGAGGAGCTCGGCGAAATCGTCAACGGCCTCCAGCAGGTCGAGA